TGTTTGACTGCCTTTACTGTTTTTTCCTTGAAGTTCTCACAAACTGGAAACCAAATCACTGTGGTAATTGACTTTTTGTTGTAGACATTCTTTCTTCACACTTTATCTTCTATTCTTGGATAATAACCAGTTACTCATTCAAAGGAAGCAGGGGTTAACAGGTTGTGGCCTCATGCTGGGCATCTATAGTCCCCCATGTGGCAGTGAGCAATCGCTCTTTATTCTTCCACATCCAGAAAAGGACACATTATACCCGAGCTCAGATATTCTGCGGCTCCCTATTTGTAACCATGGTGATAATGTGGTTATAAGTGGTCTGCTATGGTTCATATAAGAGGAACCTTCTGTTTTAAATTCAAAGACCAAACTGACACAGTTTTTTTGTGCTCAACATCAGTTTTTGTGATTCAAGCATGAAAACAAGAAAAATATGGTGGTGATGCAATTCAAAAGAGTCATACTTGGCAACGCTGCTGTGGTTAAATAATGCTGGGAGTCAGCTCCAAACAATACAGGATTCAGCCTGGAACACCTCCACATTTTAAAAAAGGAAACTCTGTTTCTATTTCTAGAGGTACACAAATCCATATTTTCATTTTGGAGGAGAGAAGCTTTATGGTTTTCTTCCACAGCTTGTTTTCTATTTGCGGCTCCAATTTTGGTTTAATGAAGTTTTTCGTTGTTTACTTTTTCAACTCTTGACACACAACATTCCTACAATATGTGCTCAATGAACAATCAATTCAAAACCTGCTGCAGTTCCATCTGAATGATGGATAAGATGAGGTAACTCAAACTAACTGAGAAGAGCAAGCACAAAACTAGAACTGAACTCAGTGCAGCCTCTGGCCTGGCCTCCATGAATGGGGCTTTACTTACAGTGTTGGCAGTCAGATAGAAGAGACAGTACTCTTCCATTAGCAAAACATAGACTGCAGTATTGGCCTGCTCTTTAGTTCTGGGGAAAGTGTGTAACCAGCCCCCTTATAACAAAAACCTGCCATGAACTTTTTAGGATGACTCTTCTGTTTTGGTATGGCTAAAAATTAGGACCTTTGTAATAACTTAAGCACCATTTTACAATAATACATTTACCATAAGGTGATCAGTGGTTGGTTGATTATACCTGCTTAGAGGCACAGTGTTGTTGACACTCATGTACCTCTTTGCAGGCATTACTAATCAACCACTGAATCGTTTAATCCAATCAAATTTAATCTTTTGTTTTGTGTACCATTTTTTTTCTTTTAAATACATAATCATTGTGTCTTTCCTTTGTATGCATATTTAAAGTCCTCATTTGTGGCTTGTGTATTGTGTTTTTTTTTGTGTTGGAAAGTCACTTGGTAACCATGCATTGCCCTCACATCTCAAGCCCAGTCCCTTCTTACCAAACTGGTTTGATTAACTGGTGACTTTAGCAGGCTGATGGTGTGCTGAGTTTTGCACGCTAAAGAAAGCTGATGAGCCTAATGAGCCTGTGGATTGTATCCTAGCTTTTTTTAAATGATTTGTCTATGTTTTTAGCATTTCTGTTTTGCAACAGCTAGTTTAGTACAGATGTTTTATGTCTCTTGAAGAGCATATTTCTTTTGTTTTTTTTTTCACCTGCTTTGGATTTTTTTGTTTCCTACCAAAGAGCCCTTTTCCTAAACCTAATTAAACTTTCAAGCACTTCAGATTTTTACCTTTTGTGGATATGAAAAAGATTCACCAAAACTAGGTTTCTTAAGTTTCTAAAGTGATTATTTGTAGTTTTTAAATAGTCAAATATTCTCACGAATCTCTAACAAGAATACTTGTTTAAAGAAAATACAGGTTTCTCATTACACCAGGTTTTTGGTTCATGGTTTGAGAGAAAAATCTCTTTGTAAGAAAAGCTTTTTTTAAATATATATTTCTGTAGCCCCGGGTGTGAAACACTCAGGCCTTGCTGCAGGAGGGTCATTATTTCAGCCACTGTTAATGCAAACCTGCAAGGTAACAATACAACCAAAATTCGCACCAGCTCATTTTTTCCTCTTTTTAAACTCTCCAACTGTCAATCTTTCATTGTCTACTTCCTTCTATAATATCAAACAAGGCGTTTAATTATCTCACTCTGAATGGCCAAAGTATCTAAAGAGTGCTTTCTTATTGTGCTGATTTTTTTTTCTGTAAATGTCATTTTCCAAAGATCCAAATGTCATTTCCAGAGGGTGTGTGTGAAATTGCTTCCTCTTTATTTCAGCCATTCATTGTGCTGTTGCAGCTATTAAATGTCCCCGGAGGAGAACATCATTCCAGCCATTTTTGAGCTTGAATAGATACGTCGCTATTAAGCTTCTGCAGGTATTTATATGCACCGCACAAAGAAGAGGCTGAAAAGACGAGCTCATGTAGAGTGTCATTCATCCTCTGACTCCTTTCTCTAAAGGTTACACTTGAGATTGGAGATGATATTAGAACACATAAGATCTTAATGTACTTATATCAGACAATATTTGTTGTTGTTTTCTTTGCCCAACTTTATATGACTTTTTGCTATCTTAGTCTCATCAACTCTGAATCTTAAGGTGTTGATAAAAATGTGTTTTTAGCTGAAGAGCTTCAATAAAACCATCTCTGTTTTCCAAAGATAGTCATTATCTGTTTAAGTCCTCTTTTCAACCCCCAATGATGTACAACCAAATTAATACCATATAAACCTAATGGATTTCATAGATGATAATTTTATGGTACAGAATACCTGTGCCTAACCAAGACTATAATTCATGATGCCTTGCTGGTTTGGTGTTCAGGGCACGTCCCACTTGTAGAAGACCACAGGGAAGACCCGGGACATGTTGGAGATAGTATGTGTCTCAGCTGACCTGAAAAATATCTTGGGGTCCCCTGAGAAGAGCTGGATGAAGTGCTCGGGGAGAGGGAAGTCTGTCCCACAACCCATCTCCTAACAAGCAATAAAAGCTAGCCAGATGGATGGATGAATAGATGGACTATATATATATGGCCCCACTGCTGGTTTCTTCCCCTCTCTCTGAAGCTTGTGGTGAAGCTACTGGTACCAAAGTCTTGACCAAAGACTATTTAAAACATGGATGCAGTCCCAGTGAAGTCACCCTTTGGTTTCTAAAATAGAGTCTTGAAGATTGTCGTCCGTATTGGGAATGCTGACTCATCCTAACTTTTAGTCAACCTAAAGGCAAAGGTTGAGGCAAAGTGGAAAATTTAAGGGTGCTCAACCTTTGGTCAGCTGAACTAATAACCTTATACCATTTTTTTAGACCCACACTGCAGACGGTTCAGTTTTGATGTAAAGACAGACTTTTTTGAATAGGTGTGTATGTGGCTTTTGGTGCCATTGCAGCCAGCCTCTAGTGGATATCTGTGGAACTGCAGTTCTTTTTTTGTTCTTTTCTGCATCAGCTTCATTTCACAAGATCACCTGTTGCTGCTTAGTATTGACATGCTGAAATGGTAGTGATGAGTTTTTAAGGTAAGGCAACAGGTATTTCCAAACTGAAAAACTTTCAGAGCCCACAAACTAAAGCTGCAAAATTTCCACCATTTTCTTGCAAGAGTTAATGGCAAGCTTGGTTAGTTTAACCAGACAACCTACATAACTACAACTCCATTTTCTAGATTAAAGTACTGCCAACCCATGCAGTACAGCCACCTGTCATCAGCATGTTTACATCAGGATAACAGAACATTACAGCATTATGGCCAGAGCCCTAGCTTGTAGTAAGAGGCTAAAAATAAAGCCTCAAATATAAAAAACATCTTTTTTTCCAGGCCCCATGAAGGCTATAATGGGAACAAACCTGCTAATTTATCTGTTCAATGCTGGAAAATGATCAAATATTATGCCAGAAATTGTTCAGCGGGGCTGCTTTGTACTTGGAGAAATGGTGGTAATCGAAGCTGAATTTGAGTGCTGTACAAAGACGAAAATATCACACCAACTATGAACAGCAAACGGTGATGCAGAGCTCAGTTCCTCTCTGTGACACACTTATCTTCTTATTCCTCTAATTGGAGAAAATAAGGAGATGGAGAAATGTTTTCAGGAGAAAATTGCTAATTTGCAAAAAACTGAAAGGAAGTGATTGTAGCAAAAGGCTGACACTTCAGTTGAAAAACACCTTGACATCTTGTTCTCATTATATTTCTTCACCATACACTATCGAAAGAGAGAGAAAAAAAACCTTGTCAGGCACATGCATTTGTCAACAAATTTGGTCTCTGTGAATCACAGCTAGAAACTGGTCTATGGGTGAATGTGGATTAAGTGACTTAGAAATGCTGAGGCTGGTGGTGCTTCTAATAACTTACCAAAAATTCATTTTAAGAATACCACTCACACTAAGGTTGTTAATGAGGCAGGGAAAACTGTTTGCAAACTATTAATGGAGCACGCCATATGAAAACTAAGAGACACAACAGTGTTGACATACTGCTGCTCAAAATGAGGCTGCTTTGGTCCATTTAACTCATACAGTAAAGATGCAGACTCCATGAGAAAAACTGTCAGCTAAATTTATGACATACCAGATCTCAGTTCCCTAAAACACGGTTCTTCTTTGTTTAGTAGTGTTACTAATCAGGACCATTGTGGTCACTTATGTACCTGAAACACTGAGTTTTGATGTGAGTGCAAGGCTTGAAAACATTTTAAGAAAGTTTGAGTTGACTTCTAAGCTGAACCAGCACCTCAAAATGATTAATTTTTGCCGCTAAGTATCATTACAAATATATATTTATTACTGTTGGCCATGTTGATCTTTGGAGTAGCCAAGAGGCCCACAGCTCTATCACAGGTATCACTGCTCAGTGGTAATGGGAATTGATTTGACAGAATTGGTATTGAAGCCATTATCAGGGAGCCTGGATCAGCTGAAAGCGGATTGGTTTACAGATCATAACAAAGATGGCAGCCTTCCATTAGCACACTCAGCTAACAACAGAAATAACACTATATCACTAAAATGAATACTCAAATCCTCACAGAGGGATTGGATCAGTACAGCCTCTGCAACCGAAAAAATGTCTAAAACAAAGAGTTCATTGGAAAGGTAAGCTGCGAGTCTTAAAAAAGAAGTTGGTTTCACAGAAAGTTGGTGAGTCATACATCCTATTTGAGGAACTGATACTGTACAACAATAACTGACTAGATTCAACAGCATCCTGGAAAGCTATTGTCTTCAGTCTATTGTGAACACTTCCTTGGTTGTTGCTTTTGCTATCTGCCAGGTTAGAACCAGTTGCGATCTGGTAAAGGCGTTCAATTCAGTTTGGTTGTAGCTTTGAAAAGAGATTAGGTTTGTTAAGGGATATTCTGGCGTAAAATTAATTTAGGATCAAACACACTTTAACTCGAGAGATAAATGTTGCCGACCGGCTGCTTCTCCAGTTATACCAACTTTAGTAATGACTGCAAGATAGCAATACACAGTGGTCTAAGGGGGGCATAAACAAACCTCAACCAAAAAGCCACTCTATAGCCACAAATAATGCTCAGAACAGCACCTAACTTCATCAACAGGACATATAGGGTCCCAGCCATAGTAGTAGCCACCAAACATCTTTTTAACTTCGCCGTATTTCTTTAGCAACGAGACGTAACACAACTCACCTACTCTCTTCCAGCAGCTGCTTGTTTGTTACGAGACCTCAGGCCAGTCCATTATGGACTATAGTGGGGTGACGCAGCTCAAGGAAGAACATTTATGATCATTACTTTATCATTTCCTTTAAGTAATAATCACCATATTAATCATTTTGCACTGCAGACACGGTAGTTCTTCTGCCTTAGCGTCTCAGTCTGATTGCATTTCCATGAAGAAATTATCATAAATGTTCTAACTCGGTCAAAAATGATGGAAAGTTACAAACTAACATGCACTGGTTAATTTCTCTGATAATGCCAGGTTACTTTCCTTATACACTTAGATAACCTTCTCTAGACCTGGCAATATTTTGAACACAAGCACACAAGTAATAATTCAACAGATGAGCCAATGAATATTAATTATTTTTGTCTTTTTTTCAGAAACATTTAATATTAATGTGTTTTATCTCACCGTCTGTGGTCAGAAGTGGACTCAGCCTACTTAAAGCAAAAGGACAAGAACTATTGTTGTTGTCAGAGAGGAAATGTCTGTTGAATTAATGAAGAAGTGAATTGCAAAGAAGCTTCTCAGGTCCATAATCTCAGTTCAGTCAATGACTCGAGAGCATCTGACTTTTTTTTGTGATCCCTGCTTTGTGGAGAATCCCGAATGAGTGAAATTCATTTGGTATGTGGCTTAGATTAAAAAAGTTGTCATCCTGAGTCGAAGCACACCTCGACTATTGAATGCAAAACACAACAGTCTCAAAATCCGACTCTGGTAACCTTGTACAGAATCTCTAATGACCGCATAGTGAAATTATCTACCTCTACGGCTCATATGGTGTGACGGCTCTTTTACTGAAGGACGATAGATATAAAAGTTCAATTTGGCTGACTGGGTCTTTTACTGCTTTGGTGCTATGTTATTGCTGAAAAGATTTCTTTTTTTAATTCCTTGACATTTTGAACAAAATGAAAAAGGCACCATAAACAAAGCAGAGTGTACCTGATAAAAAGGGATAAGAAATTGCTTTGTATGCCATCTGTCGCACTCTGACTTTCTCTGAATGATATGAAATAGTTCACAAGTTAAGTAGAAACAGGATGAAATATCAATCTAACATGCTGCAGATGGCCGGCATCATGAACTCTGCTGACCAATAGCTGAGATAACACTGCCAGCGCACAAGAGAAAACAAGATGCAGAGTGTATGCAAAGCAGGTTTAGTGCGTGAAATTGAACACTTTGCAACTGCTACATTGGATTTCTCGCAAGGTACATTGGCAATCAACAGCCAACAGTGGAAACACCCAAGCAGTATCAATCTTGATTTGTGTCCTCTACCGTCTAAATTGTGCCCCTGCTGGACCCGTTTGATGGAGTGCATATTGTGTTAGCGACAACTCGGTGGATTTGTTTCTCACCCTCTTCACTTAATAGCACGTGAAGTGAGCTGATTCAATTCCCAGTGCCCACACTCGGCTGTAAACGCCACAGACGAACAATGCTGAAATATTTATTGGACACGAGGAGTGTGTATGTCAGGTTGATGGTTTCATGATGGAGAACATGCTGGTTCAAGAAGTCAAAAAGTAAAAGAAGAAATACTGAAGATGCGAGAAGAATAAAAGTCTGAAAAGGATAAAAAATGGTTTGACACCTTCTTTCATGGAAATTAAAGTTATCAAATCAATTAAATCCCAGTATATCATGTTCCTTGACAGCACATGTTGGTGCTAAATACCGTTAAATATCCTCCACTTGGTGTTTTCACAGCCAGCAGGTGAGTAAACTGTGAACACAAACATGTCAGGCAAGTCTGCCAATCATTCAGCACCACCTAATAACATTTGCATAAATAACACTCAACGTCTCGCAGCTTTATGTCAGTTACCAGCAAATAAAAAAAACATGTTCCATGATAGTTTTAAAGTAAGAAAAAATAGCTCTTACATCCAAACAAAAATATGTAGCACCAAAGACAGAAAAAAGAGGGTAAACCCGTCTTGGATGCTATGGTTACCGATCATGGGCCTAAAGAGGCATTTAAAAGTCATTTAAAGCTCTCCATCCATACAAATCAGGAGAGTCAGAGGAATGACAGGCGTGCTCGGAAATGTGCTCCATGATGATTAACAGTCCTCCTGATTCAAGGCGATGTCCGTGCCACTGTGTTGAACTCTCGGTTGCCATGTCTCATTATCCCCACCTCACTAATGGAAGGAGGAGACAAATAATTCATCTGCCCCGATGCTGACACGGAGCAGAACGGGTCTCCTCAGGGGGAACACTGAACAGCTTGTCAGTTAGAGGATGGAGGATGAGAAAATAAGACACTATCGCCAAGCAACAGGGGAAAAACAGCTTAATTCAAAGTGCGCTGACGGTTTGTCTCAATAAAACTCAGGCTAATCAACTTATACTTTGTGTATTTTCCACCTCCAGATTAGGTGGTTTACTCACACTTTAAGTGCTGTTGAACAAACACGTTTTAAAAAAGAGTGTTTACAGTAAAAATGTAATGAACTGCATGAAAGCATCCAGAAGTCACATTCTCATTTAGAAGACAACAAAAGCAGCTCTTTGAAGGTTACGATAAAGCCGAATTTCCCTTGTTAACCACTAACATTAATGCTGTTCGTCGTCTTTGACTCATTTGAAGTCTGTTTATCTGCTATTTGCAGTCATTTTAATGCTTTGTGAGCTTCAGAAAGGAACAGCTGCTACCTGGGCAGCAACTAATGCTGGAACAAATATATAATAAACTGGATGGAGATGTAGCAGCTGTCGAACTGGCTGAGGTACAAATAAACACATAGAGAGGAGGGGAAAAAATGAACAATTACAAGTTCAAGCTTATTCCACACTCACACAGGCCAACAAAACTGCACAGTTTCAGCTCATCAGCTGACCAAAATGAAATGCCATTTTCAAATAAATAAATGTTTACTGTTATGCTTTGCGTTAACAATACACCGAGGAAGAGATGCACTGGAGAATGAAATTATCTCACACACTGAGTTTTAACTAGCCAGAACTCTGACCTGTTACTGTAGAGAGATAGAGCAGACTTTATGGTTCAAAACAGGATAAATGCGGAGAAATACACAAAACTTCATCCTATTATGTATCCCCAAACTTTGTTAGATACCCACAACTGTTTTTAGTTTCTGGCCCAAAGCCTCTAAATCGCACTGCTCCCTCAAAACAGTAATTAACATTTTGTCAAACGAGAAGTCATGAGAAATATTGCAGCTTGCAGACGCTGAAATACATCTGTGTAAATACATGAAAAAAAGGCATCTGAGACTTGGTATAAGTTCCTAAATTTAAGCAATGTCATGACATAAGACAGCAACAGAAAACTAGGGAGTGTTTGGATCTAATTGCATAAACACCACAGCACTACAGTGGTGTTCGAACCCTGTCTTTCTGCTTTCATAATCAATGTTCCCTTGATTTTTACAACACAGTATAATTCATAGACAGAAGACACAGCACTTTACTTTTAATTAAACAGAGCTGACCACACAATCTGATTGGATATGATACATCCAATATGAGTGCTGATAGAAGATGTGCTTGCAAATCACTAGCACATTGAATAGATTGTCTCACTAAGCCTGAAATGCCGGTCATATATTGTGTCTAAACTGTGGTATTTTCGCCAAGTACTAGCTGAAGGTTTGGCCTGGTGTTCACTCCTGTCATAGTGCTATAATGCTGTATTACTCAGATGTAAAGAAGCATCTCAACGCGCAGCAGGATTTGGCATTTTATTGATAAAAAAAAAAAAATTGAACTTTTGAAGATATGTCTTGATATTACTAAACACGGGCCAACAGAGTATCAGGAACAGATTCTTGTTGTCCAATAAATGGATATGGGGAATGTCACTTTATGGAGTAGAGTGCGTTGTAAGCAGGAATTAGTTGTGTTGACATGTTCAGTAAGAAAGTTGGGGTATTTTAATGCTTATGGTGCCAGCCTTAGGTCAGCATCACATAAGCAGCTTTACTTTCAAATGCATGCAACCCCTTGATCCAGGTGTTCGTCATCACAGGCCAGTTTTCCGTAAAGTATACTATTCATGCTTATAAGAATAAACACCACAGAGCAGCTTAGCTTTAGAAGAAAAAACAAACAGCATTCATCAGCAGCATAATCAGCCGTGACCGGCAAACAGTAAAAAGTCATGATTCTCTGTGGCTGACCTTTTCAGAAAGATGACTTGTTAATGCACGCATCAAACGCTGGTGAAGCGAGATCATCCTTTTCCTCTAACCCAGCCCAGCACGAACACGGCAGCTGCTTGATGGAAGGCGGATGAACACGCACCAACACAAAAGTGCTTCTCTCCTCTTCAGACTGTGAAAGTTTCCACCACTGAATGAGCTAATTTATTTTCACAGCCACAAAGACAATTGCTTCCTAGGCTTGGTGTCGGCTCTGTTGTTCTGCTGTGATATGTGTGTGTGCGAGTGCATTCATGGCTGTACACTTCAACGCTTGAGCTAAAATTATGTGGTGTTTTTTTGGTACATGAAGGTGTCTGTGTATGCGCTTTGAAAGAAAATAGCGTGAGGATCATAAATGGAAGATGAAATAGTGATGTTAAATTATTATGCCAGTGGCTGTTCAATTGCTGTGGAGGTCTCTACTGACAGCAGTAACAAAAGTGACCTAAAAACAGCTAGTATTGTCTGTCCCTTTGCATGATATTTCTCTCTATATATACATATATCTTGGTTGTGTATCCCGGTGCCTTGCAGGGGGAGTTTTAAAGTAAAATTCATTTGTGAAATCGGTGGTGCTTAGCTGTGACTGTGCACTCTTTTTTTAATTTAAGGGGAAATATCTGTATGTTTTTTCTCCTGTCTCGTGTGTGACTGCAGCCAATGTTGCGTCGCTCCTTTGGAGCAGCTAATCCTCTCCAGTAGGGTTGTTTTTAAGAACTGGATGATACAACACAGCTAATTTAAAAACCTCTATATTGGCCTTCAAGTGCTCACTTTCTTTTAGTACAACTTTACTTAAGTTAACCCGAGGAAAGTTTTACACGTATTCCAACTCTACACATACTGACCTTAAATGACTTATTTAAGATGAAATGAAGCATAGTGTTAGTTCTGGCAGGTCACAACGTCAAGCGCTGATCCGCAGCCAATGAAAAGTAGCAACCTCAACTTCAACCAGCTGATGGCCCTGCTGATTTCCTCCTAGCTCCTACTGGTCCTTTGCCTTTAGAGCACCTTATTTAAAACTGTCCTAACCCAGCTTCTTCCTCTGCTTCAGCAGCCAACCAACAACCCACCTCCACCCCAGCTCCACCTTTGTGCCGGCTAAAACTGCTCCACTACCCTTCAAGCGCCTCTGTTCTTGGGGGCGGGTTCTGTTCACTGCTGCTCTACCCCCGTTGTTCCTGCCTTCATGATGCCTCATGAAGGGCGGATATGTGCTCTTCCTGCTTCTGGCCTTAAACACATGCTTGCGTGGCCGCGAACAGAACCTCGTGTGCGCCTCCTGCTATCACCTTTTCATGATGGCTTGTGAAGGGCAGGAAGGGGCTCTTCCTGCCTCTGGCTTCCACGCAAGCTCATGGAAGGGCAGGGACCCAGAACAGAACTATGCTGCCAAATTTAACTTTGCACAGTGAAGCTGAATTTTGACAAAGTGATCCTGACTGAATTGGTGTCTATTTTGGTCAGTGAAAAGAGTGGACACTGCACCTCCATCCTCCTCCAGGTCTGTAATGCAAATGATGGGCACTTATATATTACTCTAGTGCAGCAAAGGCACGCACAGAGCTGATCTGGCTGATGAAACCCCGTCACTAACGTCACATCATTTCTGGTAATCAAAACACACATTTCCTTACCCATACAAAGTAAAAGTGCGTGTCTTTCTATCTTTCACATTAAGTCCACACAGCTTGTTTTCTGAAGTGCATGCTTGACATTGTGCTGCCAGTCACCTCATGAACTAACTGATGCAACCTGACCTGCCACTTCAACTAACGTTGCTCTTGTAAAAAATAAAAGGTCAAGGTCTGAGCACATTTGCAGAATAAACACAACAAAACCTCAGTGAAATGGATCACAGCTTTGAAACTGGTCCATCAGCAGGTTTATGTGACATTTTTACCAATGCAGGATGCCACAGACTGGAGCATTTGGATCTTAAATGTCGTGATCTGTGACAGATTCAGATCAGTTTGTCTGAACACCTCTATTAAAAAGTGAAGGATCCCTCAGCTTGGGACAGTCTATAACAGATTTTGTTTTGGTGCTCATTAGATGCAGACGTTTATGGCTATGGAAAGTTCAATGATTCTTGTATTTGTGATTGTTACATTTTCTTTCACAGTTCCTCCTCTATTCGGCTAATATGATGGAGAACGCTGCAGGAGCTGCTCCAACGGTTCTGGCCTCACTCTGGACTCTGTTGTTGTTCATTTATAAGTATACTTGTGTTGATTTACCTGTCACATTTGTAAATGTCCTTGCACATTAAGATTGGACAATGAAAAAGTCTCCAAACTTGAGCCATTTGTTGATGTCCTGAAGAGATTTACATCCTCCACTGATTAATTAAAGAGTAAAGACGCATGTTATTATTAGAGAAGTTGTAGTTATGTAGCTTTTTACGATGTGTGGTGAAGATGGCAGCGGTGAGGTTTTTTTTAAATGTGTAATAAATTAAAATGTGCTGATTGCTGCAGGGAATTATTTGCTTCCAGTGGCCTTGTTATCATAAAAGTACTTAAATTAACATTTTGATATACCTTGTTAATAAACTGCTTAACTTCATCAAACTTTCTTTATAGATTAAAAAGGGCTCTGGGCTTCTTTGTGGTGCTTTTTGCCTTGAATGAATGGGATATGGCGATCCTTTACTGAACAGATTCTCCCACAGTGTGAAAAAGGATTATTTTATTCGTTTGTCTTTGACTTATGTCAGCGTGAAATATGGTCGGTGTTTGGTTGTATTACAGAACAGTTAAAGCTCTTAACAGAGACAATCTCAGTGGGATCTGTCATCATTTTAACCTGTTGATTAGTTGGAGGTAAAGAGTTGCCTGTTTCATCTCTATTAAGCCGCGTACTACAGTTATATCTGAATAGCATAATAGGCCTGCAGGGGCCTTATTTAAAGCAAGGTAATAGAAATGCAGCTGCTGTGATTCAAACATTTCTTTTTGAGACAGAGTTTAATAATAATAACTGTGAAATATTTGACAGTGTATTGGATTTAAAGCTCCTGTGTGGGATTTTCTGACATGAATACTAATGCCTCTATAAGGCTAGACTGTCGCAGAGAAGACCTACTGTTATTATCATTCTTAAAGGGATATTCTGGTGTAAAATTAATTTGGGGTCAAACACACCATAACACCGAGTTAGACACCCCGTCGAGAGGTGTATTGCTGACCACTTGCTTCTCTAGTTATACCAACTTTAGTAACGACCGCAGATAGTAATACAGAGAGCAACACACTCAACCAAAACGCCACTCTATAGCCACAAATAATGCTCAGAACAGCACCGAACTTCATCAACAGTACATATAGGGTCCTTGCAAAAGCACTAGCCACCAAACATCTTTTTAGCTTTGCCTAATTTCTGCGAGTCCAAAGACTGCTGCAGGGTGACGCAGCTCAAGGAAGAACAATTATGATCATTACTTTACCATTTCCTTGAAGTAATAATCATCATATTAATCATTTTGCACTGCAGATGCGGTAGTTCTTCTGCCTTAGCGTCTCGGTCTGATTGCATGTCCATGAAGAAATGATCATTAATGTTCTTCCTTGAGCTGTTCTGAGCATTATTTGTGGCTATAGAGTGGCTTTTTGGTTAAGCGTGTGGCTCTCTGTATCGTGCGGTCGTTACTAAAGTCGGTATAACTAGAGAAGCAAGCTGTCGGCAACATTCATGTCTTGATGGGGTGTTAATTTTACGCCGGAATATCCCTTTAACATCTGAAACCAGAGCATTATTGATATTTTCTGAAGATTCCTGCTGAGGTATACATTTTACTCTACAGAGAAAGGAGCTGGCAATTTACAGAGTTGACAAAACACCATCTGAAAGTGATGCTACTTTGTAAGTTATGTTGAAATAAGCAGTTTAAAAGCAGAGGAAAAAGATATAAGTTACACAAGTTCATCATAATGAGGTGATTCTCTGTCTCTTGAACTCACAGACCCTGAGACCTGAATGGAAAGACTTTTTACTACAAACAGAAATGATCAGAGCTTGAAATATCAGAGCCTGTCTCCATCCACAGAACGCCTTAATTCACTTCTACCTCCTTGTACCTTTTTAAGGAATTGGTGTGAGGTATACTCTGCCTCTACTCAAGTGGTTCCCTAACTAGGGCACAGCATGAAGCCTTTTAAGTCTCACCACACCTGGATTATCAGGGGGCCTCACCACACACTGCTGCACAACATTAAGAAAAAAAGGAAAATGTGGGCCATGAACCGGGTTATTCGGATTGTGAACGGATGTTTGAGGAAAAAACCTTCAAGTTTAAAACCTTGAGGATAAAAAAGAAGAGGTTAGTCGTGTCCTGTCTGTGGAGCTGCTGCATGCTGTGCTAGCTTTCATGCTAATTAAACCACCTGTTATCCCTTGGATGATAATGGGTGAGGCGTGTTTAACGAATACAACTGCTTTATCTGTTCCCCCGCGAGTCTTAAAGATGATTAAGGATCAAGGATGTGTGTCCTTGTGAACTCACATCTGCTGAAGGAGATTAGAAGAGATGTGAGGTGTGGTGGAGAGGGAGAGTTAGAAAACATATCACTGTGTTAATGTGTCTGGCGAAGTTTAATCAGGCTGTATTCAATACTACCTTTAAAAAAAATTTATGGTGCCAGAAACTCGTCTGTCTCCTGTTTGGTTGTCTCATACTTGCAGGATAACTAATTATCCAACAATGCCAAACAGATGTTCTTCTTTTATTGCTTGAACTCACTTTAACTCAACTTATGTTGATTTTAAAATGATTTATATTTCGTCTGGTTCTGTCACACTACATGGTTATTGCACAGTATTATGCTCGCTCTTTTACCTAAGTTGTATCATACAGTTTCGTTGAAAGAGTGTGAAAAACTAAAGTTTTAGACTTTAAAAAATGTCTCATTAAAGCTCCTGTGAAGAATGTTTTTACATGTTCATGAAATAGACTTAAAATCATACAGGTTTCCTTTTCATGATGTACAAAAGCAAAGAAAAGGATCAGCGATAGAGCTCACCTTTTTCTTGATGTAATTTTTAATGCCTTAAATCAGTGCGAGGGGGCAGGTGTCAGCGAAGCAGCCAAAAAAAAACAGCCCTGCTTTTACAAGTTTGATCAAATATATCAAGAATAACTTATATAGGGATAAGATTTTTAAGATCAGATAAACAAAGACAGCTTTGGCCACAGGGGGCGCCAAAATTGACACAAACCAAAAGTTCCTCACAGGAGCTTTAAATTCATGATCAAAGTAGCAAACTCAACAAGCTGTTTAGTTTGTTGGACATTGTGCAGATCTAGCAAAAATGACAACATAACATCTTCCAATTTATCGAAAAAGTCAAGCGAGACTTCTTTGAATCAGGCAGGCGATCTTTAGCTAACATTGAGACCCTGTAACTGTAAACTGTGAGCTGTTGAGTGCTAACAAATAATCATGAGCTGTGATTTTAAAACTCTTGTCCTCTATAGGAGTAATTAGTGTTCCCTGACAAAAATCTCATCTGTCTTTAATTAAAGTAGCTGGTTTAAACCTCACATTAACATGACCCACTAGTTTTTGCAGAGAAGTTCTGAAGCCAAATAATGTTAGTCACCATGTCAACAGCGTAATATCAACAAAACTTTCAGCCAATGAGAAAGAGCTGAAGAGGACAGGAGAGCTTAGCCTGCAAACAGCATCATGGCACCCACCAGCCATTAAACTTGACTGCAACCCCAATTATCCAAACCTGTGCATAGCTTTTAACCTAAATAACTTTAGGCAGAATTAAAATACATTTACTCCCTCTAACTGAACAAGACCAAACCATTTTTCAACCCGGCTGTTTTTTAAAATGAGCTTTTTTAACATGGGTGTTTATGAGGAATTCTTGGCTTTTGCAGCCAGCCTCAAGTGAACTCCCTGAAAACTGCACTTTTTGGCATTTATGCTTTGGCCTCATTTCACATCCACTGAGATGTGAACTGCTCACGATTAATATTTGGTGCAAAAACGGGAAAAGCAGCTGTTTCCTGTTAATTGACCTATCTGAAAGACCTCTCAGCAGCAAGTTTCGGCACCTAAAATATCCTCATAGAAATAATATCTTCCTGTTTCCTTTTTAAGCTATATTGAGGCATTTGTTTAAACTTGAGTCTCTTTCACTATGTATTAAAAACTCCCCTCAGGAGCTTTAAACTAACTTATTATTTAAAATAATATTTGATCAACTTGAAAAGAGACGGTGGAATATTTTCTGACATTATGTTGTTGCTGAAGGTGCTCTTTTCCTTAAAGGATCTTGGGGATTGTTGCTCTCCCGAGGCACTTAAAGGTCAAAGAAACCAAATATTGTAAACCTCTTTAATATTGAAAATAAAGCAACAGGATCCTTGATTCACCTCTGAACACAAAGAGAGCTCTGCACTGTGTACTAGACTAGACTACATGGTGTGAATCTATTTTGATCACCATTCCTTTTGTTTTCACATTAAACTTCAGTTTATTCATCTGTAAGCATTTCAACGGAGAACATGTGCGGTTCGAGCTGGACATTAATCATGAGCCACATCTGTGCTGTGACATCTGAAAAGCCACATGGGATTGTGATTTGTTACACATGGCTGGGACGGTTCAGTCGGTATCATCTGTACTGCAGACTGTGTGTTAACAACAGGGTGTGTTTGTCCAGGACAGGGAGCGCCTGTGAGTGACCCCAATGGAAACAATGACCTCAGACTGGGTTTTGATTTGCTGTGGTTGCCACCCAGCTCTCGACTCAGGGTCAAAACACTGCTAGTGGAAGTACTTTTATGAATAACAAAGGCCTTCAACACTTCATACTGTTATACTGTGTCATAGTTTATTCGACCCAGGGACTTTATGAGCTATTTTGTAAGAAGCGCATAGACTTTCCCCACTGGGCTGAATAATTGATCATTACACGACAGAGTGAGGATTTGCACCGTTTTGGGTGTGAATTCATGACTGTTGTTCAAAATGTGTGCAGTGTTTGTTTTATTGGGAATCAGTTTATGTGTGTAGGCCATGAGTGGAGTACAACAATAAAACAAAACAGTACTAGCAAAACTATTACATTACGAGCAGGATAAATTAACACAATTATACACAGAGTATAAAGGACTACACACACTGTCCAGACAAAACATTATGACTAGGGTGACCATAAGTCCTCTTTTACCCGGACATGTCCTATTTTTGGGGGGGTGTCTGGCCTTGTCCGGCTTTGTCAAAGGAAGTTTATAAAATCCTAAAAACCCGAAAAACTCTCAA